GAAAATTTCAACCAAATCTCCTATATGAACATTAAACCAAAAGCGCCAGACCGTGTAACGTCAAAAAGAACTGAAACATTTAGAGAGTGGTTATCGCACCAAAAGACACGAGCCTGGATGTTGACCAGTGGAAAATATGAACTTTTATTTTTAGTGGCAATCTAGTTGATACGTTGCATAGGCTGCCTGTGATTTGTTGCAATATACGAACAAAATGCGCAAACTCATTAATGAATATCTCCACAATACTAACCTGAATCATGATGCTGTCTTGAGCAAAGTTGTTCCTTATAGTTTATTCTACGTGTGCTGAAATTCTGAGCTTAATCGTGTTTGCTGATCCAGTTCTATGCACGAAAGAGTGTAGGAATGTTATTTCTCCATACATTTCAACCAATATCCCCATATGAACTTTAAATCAAAAGCGCCAGCTCGTGTTGCATCCGAATGACCATTAATTTTCACAGAGTGTTTTTTTTCACCTAATGGCTCAAATCTAGGGGTTGGCCCGTTGACAAAAATGATAAAAAATGTCCCCCATATAAAAATTGTTATGGTTAATTAACTACTTCATTCGAGCAGATAAAATGACGTTTACTACCACTCGAACTTTGAAATAAAACATTATTTAGATATGTTTTCTTCCAGAACCTCGAGAAAAGTAGCCAACATTTGTGCGTTTCACAAAAAAATAGAAATTAGTTGGTCCAGTTTTGTGAAATCACTGGTGGAAAGTCACGCCAAAACTGCTTGACAAAGTGGTCAATTCTGTCCTAACGCATTGAAAGGACATTAGATTTTCTTCGTCCTACGGATAAACATTGAAAAAATGAGGGATTCGCTAGAAGCGCTTCTTTTGTTTTGAGAACAATGAGCGTAAATATTCATACAATGCGCTCTAATAGGATTTATGTTGTAGCTAATGAACTAACGCATCGGAACAAACCTATTATTGATTTTTGCACGATGAAATCATTGAAATTATTCGACGGTGAGCATGCATAAGGGCGTAAACGCGATGATCGATTCTCTTCGTCGAATTTCTCTTTTGTTAATAACTCGCTAGAATTAACGTTTCTCTATGCGTTTGCTGTTGCTTTTGATACAACCTGTTACAACTCTGCATTGAACAAATTATAGAAAATTGTTTCGCTTAGCTGTAGCAATGCAAAGAGAAAATCGATGAAGAGAATCGATTATCGCGTATACGCCCTTATGCATGCTCACTGTCGTATTGATCTTTTCTGATCGGTAGAACGGAAATGGGCGATTATGACGAAGTAGCGCTCTACCCTATAGCGTAGTGAAAGGATTTTAGTATTGTCGCGCTTATGTTAAATTCTCATTTGGTGACGGCCGAAGCGCGCCGCTCATAAGCGCGATGCAATCCCACCCATAAGGATTTTACACAGGTGTATAACTTTGATAGTATTTTATGGCAGCGGCTTGACAAGCGAATCCTGCATAAAGAGCTGGCGTTAAATCAATGGGCGCAGTTGTACGGCCATAAACAGAAAACATAGTTCCGTTAGAGTATGGCAGTGTTAAAATTGTAAGTAGAGAGTATAAAGCGAACAAAGGTCAATTTTGAGGAACTATTTTCTCACCTCTCATAACGAACATACGTTGTACCGGAGGAACATGAACTCATCCAATTTTGCACAGCAAATGCTATGTTAAATTAGACAAAGTTTACGTTGTATCCGGGGCCCGCGGTTACATTGTATATTCGTCATAATTCAGGTAACACATAGGTTGAAACAACACGTGCTATTTGGTCCAAGCATGTTCTAATCTAATCTAATACAAACGCAGCAAGTACGAGAAAGCGTCCTGGAAAATGATTAGGTTAAATAATGCCTAATAATTTTTATTGTCATCATTGACGTTTGCAGCATTCAGGCATAACATTTGATAACGGCACAAAAGCATTTGTAAACAAACTTCATCGGATAGGGGCAACTATCACTTTCCGAAAGTGGTATTGGTTTGCGTGGGCGTACTTTTGTTCGCGTGTAAAGGGCCTTAGAAAGTTTGTTTACGCGGTTGGTTTATGCCTGATATCTTTGATATGACAAAAACATCAAAACGGCCAGGCCTACTGCGTTGCATTTGCCGCAAAGATAATTCAGTGAAATGATTCGAGTTTAAATAAATCTATTTAAACATTGATGCACTTCGTGAATCTACAGGGGTGGAAGGATGCGTGGACATATCGTACCAAACGCTCCGAGTTATGTAAGAATGAATGTTACAATAATATGTGATGAAATGAATGGTTTATATAATATAGTGTAATGGAAAGATCTCACCAACTGCCTCCAATGTTAGCTAAATTTCTAATTTATAGATGACAATTGAATGATCGCACCAAAACAGGTCAACTTTACCGGGTTCTGAACAACTGCTATGAGATGTCCCAAATGGAGACTTTGTTCGGTCGCTTCTTCTTGATGTGGCTGCATCGGACTACTGGATGTTTGAGGTTTAATGGAGATCTATTTTGACGTAGGACTACGTCTTTGCTTTCTATATGGGGGTACACTTTGTTAAAACCGAAAATAGAACATGTAACAAATTAAGAAAGATTTTGAACGTTAATAACTCAGCTGCCCCTGGTCCAATTTCAATAATTTTATCGCCAATCGATCAGAAATATGGCTACGCATCGATAACAATGCTTTCGAATGTTGATTTTCAACAAAAAAATTATTGATAAACTGGTGAATGTCTAGCATTGTCCAAAAGCGTCGAATTAACTAACAAATCCACCAATTACCTACATGCATATGCTGCTTCCCCAGCACAGTCGTCAGAGAGTAGTAAGTAGACGAAACAAGTCGAAGTGGCATTCGCCTTCGATCCTCGGGCGCGTGCGAGTAGGGAAGATGGAATTGCGTAATATTTTGCACACTCATCGCCATACTCAGAACCAAACGCAAATTCTTCAAGATAACCACGATCCGTCGTCTGGCTCGTCGTGGCGGTGTCTGACGTATCTCCGGTCTGATCTACGAGGTGTGCTGAAGGTGTTCCTGAAAAATGAGATCCGTGATGCGGTCACCTACACTAAACACGCCAAGCGTAAGCGGCCATGAATGTCTTCTACGTTTTGAAGTGACAGAGACGCACTCTGTTTGGTTTCAGAGGTTACATCGTCACCAACTTTGGCAACAAAACGGCTCTTTTCAGGGCCACCAAGCTTATTACAGTAAAGAGTAGGAATAGAATTCATCTGCCTGTTTGTCCATATTCAGAACCAACGATCACACAAAATGCTCATGTAATCAAACTGGAAGGAGGGGAATAAATTATGTTGATCAACCTTGATCAACTTTGAATCGCCACGGCCGGATATTTTCGATGGAAGAAGCAAATTTACGAAAGACAGTGTCGATGAAGAGAATCGATCAATGCAGATAGGACCTATTGAAAAGTGACGCGAGATTTGTTTTCCGTACTGAGCTCCAATGCTACCGACGCCAGGGAGGCAGCTCCCACACCTGGACCGATAAACACAACCGGGGACCAACGGCTTTACTTCCCGAAGGAAGGCGTGATCAGAGATGTTATGCCTTAGAACATGCCGGTGGCGCCGACTGAGATTAGACCCAGAAGCCTGCTGGGGTGAGAGGTAATCACGCTAACCACCGACGCCGATATCTTTCAAGGTGATATCACCGCGAATGAGAACGACCCAAATTTGAGTTTAGTTATCTCAGAAATAAGAAATAAAGTGCAGGAACTCAGCGATGAGTAAATTTGCCTCATGTTTTCACAGGTTTTTCCAGGATTTTCCAGGGAAAAATTCCCGAATTTGAAAAAAGTAAAGATTGGATTCACTCAGTCTATTAGTACTACTCCAAGACTGAATAAAATTTTCGTCAATTTCCTCATCTTCTGGCAGATTTTTTAGGTTTTCCACAGGAAACCATGTGACAAATTTACTCATCGCTGAGTTCCTGCACTTTTGGCGATTATGAGTGAAGTAAACTCAAATTTGGGTCGTTCTCATTCACTGTGTACGCAAAAGTAAAAGAGCCAGTGCCGCTACTTGATAGCAAACTACTCATAATGGGAGGGAGGAGTTTCGTTTCTTATGCTACGGACACAAAACGAGACACGACTATCAGTTATTCTCTTCCGAAGTGAACGATTTCATCATGGCACCGAAAACCAGTGGAAAGGCCGCTAAGAAGTCTGGAAAGGCGCAGAAAGTCATCGTCAAGGGAGAGAAGAAGAAGAGGAGACAGCGCAGGAAGGAAAGCTATGCCATCTACATCTACAAGGTGTTGTAGCAGGTCCACCCGGACACCGGAGTCTCGTCGAAGGCCATGAGCATCATGAACAGCTTCGTCAATGACATCTTCGTATTGCTGCTGAGTCGTCCCGTCTGGCTCAATACAACAAACGCTCGACGATCACGTTCCGCGAAATCCAAATTGCGGTCCGTCTGCTGCTGCCAGGTGAGTTGGCCAAGCACGCTGTCTCTGAAGGAACCAAGGCCGTCACCAAGTACACCAGCTCAAAGTAGATTCGTACCATCTAAACAATCAATCGGCCCTTTTCAGGGCCACAAATCGATTTCCAACGTGAAAGAGGTTTTGATGATTTATTGAACTTTTAAATGTTCGAGAGCAGCGTTAGAAAAGTTCGCGATAAGAAATCAGTTGATTTGCCTTATGAAAATAATGTTGACAAAAAGTATAAGAGGTTGGAAAATGGAAAATGGGCGATTTCACGGACCAGACGCTTGAAAGGCAACTTGCAGTCAGCAGCTCGGTCGATTTCTGGTAACGACGGATCTCACGCAGAGCGACAGTTCCTGGCCGGTAGCGATGAGACTTCTTCACTCCTCCGGTGGCCATCTGTTTGAGAGGAGCCTTTTCTCCGGTGAACTTACGAGTGATCTGCTTGATGCGGCCATTATACGATGTGGATGCGTTGAACGCAATCTGTTTTAAATTTACCCAGCAAAATCATGGGCATTGGCTATAAGCAATATTTCATCAGATTCCAGACAAATCTGTACGATAGTAATTAGAACAGAAAATGAAAATATAAAAATGAGGTAAGGAAAATAATTAAAATATGGTTCAGATTAATACCTGGCTGAATAAAGATACGCATTACCATTTATTATATTAGACCACGTAGTCCTACACACTTAGATTTTTTCGCCGAGATGGTCACCACCGAGCAGCTCGGCATTTTATTTTACTGGATCTCAGTGAAAAACTTGCCGAGATTCAGCTAACAAACGGGAATTTTGCCGAGATCTCAGCTAACAAACATATTTTTTGCTGAATTTCCAGCAAAATAAAATGCCGAGCTGCTCGGTGGTGCCCATCTCGGCAAAAAAATCTTAGTGTGTACGTCACCATTGCGTACAACCCCAGGACTGTCCCTTGTAGTTTTTTTTCTTTACTACCGTGATTTTTAGCCGTAGGCTAGTTCATCACGTATATTTCAAAGAATAAGGTGAAACAAACCTATCTATCACAACAATTAAGCTGGGTTTAGACAGGGCAAGTCAATTGTACAAGTCAGTTGAATTCAACTGACTTGAACGCGAATTGAACGTGTAAACCATGCCATTCAACTGACTTGATCAACTCACTTGAATTGAAAAAAGTTGAACCAGGCTCAACTTTTCAAGCCAATTGAATTCAACTGAGTTGATCATTTGACTTGCCTAGTCTAAACCCAGCTTTGAGAAAATTGTAAATAGGGTCAAACGGGTTTTGATAGATTATTATTATTATTTAGCTTTATTAAGGAGGCTTTCAGCCTTGGGCTGGTTCGCCTCCAACCGGGTTTTGATAGAGCCCAGTAGCTAAAACCACATCGAGGTACACACAGAGTTTAATTACTGAGATTGGCTGAGTATTTCAGTATTTTTATTGCAGTATGTTGATGAATAAGTCAGAAAAATTCATCGAAAATGTCTATTTACTAGTAGTTAATGTATTTTTTTTTTTGTTTCATACAATGGGTAGGATTAAAATGATTTTAATTTTTTACGATTTATATTTGGAGACTGAGGTTAACATGTCTAGCACTTCCTGGTAGTTCACCGGTTGGTGGCTCTTTTGGTGTGTTGGATTGCGTGTCCGTGTTTGGAGCTCTACAACAGGGAATATTAGTGAATGTTTTTCCTTCAAAAACAGTAATCTGGCCGAAATTCGGTAATTTTTGAACCGCCAAGCAGCTTTACTGAGATCTCAATCATGTTTGGTGAATGAGTTGCAAATAAATAAATGTCACTTTTGGCTGAAAACTCAGTAAAACGTATTACTGCGGTGCCAAAATTACCGAGATTCAGCAAACACAACTACACACCAAATTTAAATCGCTGAACATCAGCAAAATGTTGCTGATTTTAGACTTGATGAAAGATCAGCAAACGTTCCAGCAAAATAATGCTGCTGATTTTTTCAGCAATTCCAACTTCTGTCAAAATGACAACCTTTTACTGAAAATCAGCAATCTTTACTGATCTTTCAGCAATTAAAAATTTCGACATTTGGCAGCATTTTGCTGATTAAACAATTAAATTCATTTTTTTTCTTTATTAAAGAGATTTTTAGCCATAGGCTAGTTCATCTCTTGAATTAAATTCATTAAATCAAACTTGTTTTCACTATATGAGCTTCCAGCTTCTGTAAATATACGAATAATAAAGATAAAATCACCAGACTCCTTTCCAAGTATCGTTTATTAAATATAACCAGTGTCCGAGCCAGTGTCCTTACCTACATAATTTTATCTAATTTGTAGTTTTTTTTAGCTCTTCTTCCTCCTCCGGTTTGAATTGTGGTGTACGAATGCAAAAATACTTGCGACTGTGATGCTAACAGTTTGACAGCTCTTTTACTGGGTGTTAGCACAGAGAACAGACGTTCAAGTTCGGTCAGAAACTTGTGTAAAATAAGTGGGAACGTCGCCGTTACGTGGTGTTAGCATCTCCTGATTTTCTCTATAAATTTTCCACTTTCGACCAATTTGGCGCTAGTATCGAAAAATTTTCTGTTGAAAATTGCCACTTGGCGCTACTAGCATTTAGTGTCTAGTGTAATTTGTGCAACGCCAGCGCCATCATGTTGTCAAAGAGGGTTTTTAAGTGGGGAAGTCGCCGTTAGTGGCGCTTAAGTCGAATAGGAATCTTTACACAAGTTTCTAGAGAAATTTTGTTCGAGCCTCCATGTCTGTTCTCTGTGGTGTTAGTTTATATTAGCTGATGTTTTCAGTAAAAATATCGTTTGCTGTTTTTCAGTAAAGCATTGGATTGCTGGTCATGATCCAGCAATCCGTTTTACTGATATTGAAAACTTAAATTTGGTGTGTAAGTGTATAGGTTTGCAATGTTTTGCCAAATAATCTACTCCAAGTTTTTAAAGTCAAATATTTAAATTTCATTTTATCCAGTGTCACTGAACAAACAATGATAAGGGGACTTGCGTCACCACAATGCTCATCTTTCACTCACTTCACACGAGAGGCTGGTCCTTCCTGCCCAAATCCCCCGCGCTCGAATTTGAGGTTTCGACGAAAAGTGTCCCTGTTGCATGTACTGTTGTATACCGACCGGCAGTGCTACAAATAACAGAGGGGTGAAATAATAAAATGTGTGTACAAAATTAATTCTTAAACACTCCTCCGGGTATCACTATGCGGGAAAATTTGCTGCCACATCAAACAATCGGCGAGGGGATGCTTCCTGTGGCACGTGTCTGCACAGACGGAAGGGGATGGAGGCAAACCCTTCTGGTTTTGAGCATGAAATATTACTCTGACTGGCTGACTGACTGACTGGGTATAGGAAGGCAGACTGTTTGCGCTGCTGGGAATCAGATTTACCGTATGACAACTTGTGCTACAGTATTGGTTGCAATATCGCTCATGGATTTATGTCTTATTTTATGTTTTTTTCAGAGCGGACTCGGTCACATGGAACCCACATAAACTGATGGGAGCTCTTCTGCAATGCTCAACGATTAACTTTAAGGAGGATGTAAGTATTAGCTGCATATTTTTGTTTTTGTTTATAGGCTATGATATTTACCTTAGGGGCCATACATAGATGACGAAGCATATTTTTGTCCAACTTTAGACCCCCACACTTCCCTTACAGCGCTCAGTATTTTTCTATACCTAATATATGACAAGAAAACGGTCATCTTGAATTTCCTAAATATATTATACTAGCTGAGTGAGCCCGGCCTTGCTCGGGATTCAATATAAGCTTGAGTTTATGCGCCGATTCAAAAAGGCATGCTATATTTTTTCTGTTTCATTCCCCCTTACAGATGGTGAGGGGTCTCGAACCATCATAAGAACCTTTCCCGGCCCCAAAAACCCCTGCATACAAATTTTCACACCGATCGGTTCAGTAGTTTCCGAGTCTATAAGGGTCAGACAGACATACAGAAATTCATTTGTATATATATAGATACCCTAAAAGACCCCATGTAATTTGGGAATCGGACAGAAGCTGTAAAGCAGAAAGTTTCAACTATGCCAATTGATTAGAAAAAAACCTCGTATTACATCGAAAACAAGTTTATCGCCAAAATTAAAAAAAAACTATCATCTAAAAATAATGTAAGGCAATAGCGGAGTGTATTCCATAAGGCATAAATACGTTTGGCATAATGGGCTTTAAGTATAAATACATCAGGCATAATGGTCGTGTCCAATATTTTCTCATACACATTCAAACTATATATTTTTCGGCATCAGTAATTTCATTAGTAATTGTATTAACTGAAAGTCAAAATAATATTGATCAATTACAGCATATGTTTTGGAATTACCTTACCTTCAACCTGTTTGATGAGATTCAGACGTTTTTCATATGCGTCACATATGGTCCGCACGACTTTCATAAGAATTTGGTCCCTATTCTTTTGATTTTGGCTTTGAACTGGATCAAATTAGATACCCTGTGCTCTTTTACCTTCGACAGTATTTATGACCACATGTAATAATCCAAGGGATTCAGATCTGGTGAACTGGGAGGCCATTCATCTAAGGTTGAAAAAGTTGGTCATCTGATTGAGCTTGCTATGTGAGAGGACGCTCCATCCTGTTTAAATACATAATGATCATTTCCAATCTTATACATTTGGTTTGACAACTTTCTCCAAAAATTCCATTCCATTTTAAGCGTAAACTTTAACGTTATTTTCCATGAAAATCGCACTTGCATATTCCTCCTGAAACTATCACTGGCGCGATATTTGTGTCACTCCCTGGCTCATTTTCGAGGTGGAAACCCACAATCTGTCGTTTTGAACATTATGAGACTGCTGCAGGGCAAACAACTTTTCGTCTGATAGGTCTAACTCTTCCGCAGCGTGCCGTGGTTGTAGAAGAATTGCTCTTTCCAGCCATAATTTCTTCGAAGCTTCTGGAACTTCATAAACTTTTCGTTTCTTGAAAGCTTGAAATCAGGACATTGTGCAAGAACGATTATGAAATATTAAGATCATCAATCATTTTACGTGCTGGGATTTTCGACAAATCATTTTTCTGGCTATTTTAATAACTCGTTCTGTCTTCACTGAACGGCTCAATCGGATCTCTTCTGGTCATCCAACGGCTAAATGCCCGCACCATGAACTTAACGCTACCCATCAAATCCTGTGCAGCGCTTGCGCCATCTTTCTTACACACTTGCATCCATTCTTTCTTCAAATTCTTGTCGTGTTTGAAGATCTTCCCTGTTTTCCGGAGCTTGCTCTTCATAATTGCCCAGCATTTTTCTATTGGGCGAAGTTCTGGCGAGTTTGGCGGAGTGCCCCTTCGGCACAAAAAACAACATCGTTGGCTTCGTACTACCAACCGGTGGAAACCAACGATTTAAAATTGGCTCACTACTTGACTAGCCTATTGGTCCCAAGCAAATCGATTAACGTGCCCCATTCTATTCAACAACACGATGTTTGTTTTGATTCGCTAAAAAAGTTTGACAGATAAAATGAGGGGTTCGTGGATTTTCCTATGTTTCGAAGGGTGCATCGATTAGATTGGGACCGAAAATAGTACCAGAGCTGAGCCAAAAAGTTCAACACGTTTCTTCGGGACCTACTGGTCTTAGAGTTACCTCTATGGTACTACTCCATCACCTGTTTTGCGTAATGGCAGATCTGGCCAAAACAGAGTGTCACCTTTGTGGGACCGGAGGAAGGATAGCAGACGCATCTGGAGGCATTCTTCTTTATATATTCGGCCGTTGATGGTGCTGGTTGTTATGTACGGCTTTCTGAATTTGCCGCACTCACACATCGCCTGCCACACTAAGTACTTCTTGGCAAATTTATCGACCTTCTTCTTCCAGAACTTCTCCAGAACATTCAGGCGGGACTTGCCAAAGAAAACTCCAGGCAGAGGATCTGCTTGGTGTCCGCTTTAATGTACGTCTCGTCGTCCATTACGATACATTTCGGCTGCACCAACCCCTCGCGGTACAGCTCCCTGGCGTGGGATTTGGCCACCGTATTCTGTATATCGGTTCGGGTAGGCGCCTTCCTTACCTTGAAAATATGAAGTCTGGCCCGCTTCATAGTCTGCTGGACAATTCAGACGGAAGAATTGACCTTGTTGGCCACGTCCCAAATCGAAAGGTTCGGATTGTGTTTAAAGTAATCCCTCACCTTCCTTGCGTTCACGGGGTCGATCGTCTTCGCTTTTCTTCCGCTGCCAGCTCGCCGCTGAGTCGTCTGAGTCTCCTTGAACGGTTTTACCACACGGGACATGGTTGAATTGTCGATTTCAAACTGTTTCGCGATGCACCTGTGGGACTGATCTGGATTTTCCACGACTGCTTCCATAATATTTTGTCGAAGCACTTCTTGCTTGGAAGCCATCTCGATAACCACTTTACAGATTGTGACGAGATTTTGCACATGTAAACATTACACTCTAAACTAGTTTTACGCATAATTTCATCAATTTTTACCCATGCAATAAAATGTTAACACAAAACAAAGTGTTGCATTTTTATTCGAGTACAATCTTAAGGATTGTGGGGCCTCCCTTAGCTCAGTCGGTAAAGGCGCAGCTACAAAGCAAGACCATGCTGGAGGTGGCTGGGTTCGATTCCCGGTCCAGTCTAGAAATTTTTCGGGTTGGAAAATTTCTCGACTTCCCTGGGCATAGAAGTATGATTGGACTTGCCACACAATTATACTAATGCAAAAATGGTACAGGCATCGAAAGCTCTCAATTAATAACTGTGGAAGTGCATCTAGAACACTAAGTTGAGAGCACGCAATAAGCTAATATGCCATACCCAATAAGCTTGAAATGCGAAGAAGAAGAAAGAAGAAGAATCTTTAGGATACTGAAGATTCGATCATCCAATCCAATCATCCAAATCAGGGGGGGGGGGTCAAGAATCCAAACAAAAAATGTCTACGTAGTTTATGAACAGCCCCTAAGACTAGTAAGACCCAAACTGAAATAAAGGGAACTCTCGAATTGCTTAGCAAGTTTCTAAGCTTTTTCAGAATTTGTGATCAAAATTTTATCACCTTCTTTAAACGCTGGAATAGGCTTTTGAGGTTTTCTTTTCAAAATTTTTGTGAGTTTCCAAAAGAGTTTTGAACTCGGGTCTAATTTAGAAACATTATTTTCAAAAGTTTTGTTCATCAGGGCATAGAATCGCTTTTTAATTTCTATTTACCCGCCACATAACTTTCATGGTAGGATCGCGTTTTCCTTGATATTGCCTCCTACGGACATTTTACAGACGCATTAAGGGCTAAAGATCGTCGTCTATTATAATTGAATCGAATTTAACCTTGCATTTTGGTACTAGGCAGCTCTTGCTCCAGCTATAGAAGTAGTCAGAGATTCAAGAGCATAATTAACACCATCTTTGGTTTGTAAAGGAATGTTTGGTTCGAAGTTATATTCCATAAATGTTCGATACTGCTCCCAATCAGCTCTATGGCAACCAATTGGCTACAAAGTTGACATGAATTAGTTAATACCAAATCAATAGTTGAGGGATTTCTCGCTGAAGAAAAACATGTTGGGCTGTTTGGATATTGAATAGTGTAGAACAATCATCAAACAGAATATTACCATTGGAATTGCTTTGAGCATTATTTCAAGTGCGGTATTTTGCATTAAAATCACCAATAATGAAGAATTTAGACCTATGACGGGTAAGTTTCAGAAGGTCACCCTTGAGAAAAATTTTTTACTGGCCTACGCATTGGAATGGCAAATAGGCAGCTATAAACTTAAGTTGTCCAAATTTTGTTTCAACAGAAACTCCCAAAGATTCAAAAACGTTGGTTTCAAATGAAGAAAGAATTTTATTTTTGATTCCTGTATGAACAATGATGGCAACGCCACCACAGGCTCCATCAAGACGCTCATTTCGATAAATTAAGTAATTTGTGTCATTTTAAATAACTTTTCAGTTATAATAGCGATATGCACGATATGAACTCTAAAAAAGTTAAATAGCTCGCCTTCATTATCTTTAAGAGATCATGCATTTTAATTCAAAATAATTAATGCTTTAACCCATTACTGAATTTCAAAGTAATGACAATATTGTTCGCAAATTTTACACCAGTTTGAATAGCATCAAACATGGAGTTAGTTTTTAGCATATCAGTAATCATGTCGATTAATTATTTCTGTAAAAATTCTATTATAAGAGCAGTAATGCTTCCTTAGTCAAAAGCATCAAAATTTAGAAATCCCGTTGCGCGAATCGCCTGGACGGGATTTTATTTTATTTTTTATGACTTGGAGTAGCTCAACTCCAAGTATTTTTTTTTTTCAATTCATCCTTGATCTGATCCAGGGTTTCTCCACAGTGCAGACCTTTTAAGTCAACCTTGAATAGACGTTCAGTGTTGGTGTCGTAAGTAAAAAATGGTGTTGCTTCTCAGCAATGGAATTTTGCCTGGATGATGAATCATTTTTATCATTCATGAGCATATCAAAATGATTTTTTTTTAACTAGTTCGTTTATTTACTAGGCTCAGT